TGGTAGTTGGTGGTTGTTACAAACAATTGCTTTATTCAACATGTGATAATCGATACACATCCCCATAGTACCGTATTTCTTCTTTTAAAAACAACACTGGCGCTCCCCGACGTGACGCACTAAGCCTAATTAGCCAAGGTCAAAAAGTTCTTTGATCTGACACTTGAGCTCGTCCATATCTAGGAGACTCCTCTTGAATGAGGTTTGGTTGATCGGTCTTGGATCCACGGTATGGAATGCATACTGTACAACACGGTAGGGTGGAACATCTAGAAGTTCATCTCTAAATACGCCAGGAGTTCTTTTGGCCAGGTCACTCCAATCTGAGTTGTTCATATTGCTAACCGTGTCATCTTTGACGTGTAATAGAAAACTGTCTGCGCCAGTGTTCTTCATCGACTTACTTCCTTGTCTGTGAGAAACAAGGTGGTTCAAATGGTGTGTACTGTCTCGTGTGTTTTGCGATTTGACGACGAATTCCTTGGATTCTTTATATAACTTTCAACTGTCATTGAACCAGCAGGAAATTTGCTGTGCTTGCTGGAACAAGGTTTGGAGTGGTATCAAGTCAAATTTCACTGGGAACATATAAGCTTCGATTGAGTCTGTATATGCATTGAACGAAATAGACATGGTAATCTTCTTGGTGATTGATACTTTGTGACCACCAGCTGTCTCCGCTATTTGATCGCGGACTTGAACCACATGGTTTGCTTGCTTAATGAGTGCTGGTGTCACAAAGGTTACGCTTCCGCCACTGTCTATTAGTATGGAGATATGCTTTCCTTCATATATGGCATCATGTAGTGACTATTATGTGTTAATGGTAGCATTAAGTTGCTCTAAGTGCATTAAGTCTTAATTACAAGTGGAATGGTCATCAAAATATTGGTAAGACAAAGCTTTATTAGTATGTTCGTTATAGTTAACACTATTATAATCATTTACATTCCTGTTAGAGTGGGAATCTTGATCCTCACACAACTGATTACCCTTTAATTCAGTTGTGTGGAATGATAGGGAATTACATCCTTGGGCCTTGGCGCATCTTTCGTCTAATTGGCGGGTGGTAGCAATACGGTCTGGGCATCTTGCTGGTGCCATTTAATATCGGAGCGGTTGGCGGAGCTTCGCCTGTTCTATTGGCCTGAGCGTCCACAATAATTGGTCCGCATGGACCCCCTCCCCTACATAGAATCAAGGTCCATGGGAATAGGTTCATCATCACGGAAATATTGTGGAATAGGATCAGGACGTGCCAGGCGAGCAGAACAACACTCGATTTTGTATCCAAGGGCTGTGCGTGCAGTCTCACCAACGTCCAAAGGCTCACAAAAATGAACCTGACCACGGGTTTCAGGGCGTAAACCATCAACAAATCAGTAAAACGCTTCATCCTTGGCCATGGACAGGATTACCATGTGGAGATTATAGTAAGTGCTGATATAGTTGTTGACAGACCTTTTCTGGCGCAAAGAACGAATGCGATTACGGGAATTCTGGGTAACATGGATTTGATGGGATGCAAATTGCCATTAAGCAAGTGTGTAAACCTGTGCGAATCCGAAGCTCTGGTAACATTGTCTTCCATGCGGCACCACCAGGCATTGGCACAATTACAAAGAAGAGTAATATAATAGGAGGTCCAACTGTCATATTCTATGCGATGTAGTTCAGCAAAACGTTCCACAGAACAAACCCAGCCATAAATATTGTTGAAAGAACGAGCACTGCGATAAAAGTCTGGGCGTTATATACGGACAGACATAAACAGGGAAATATTGATGTGCGCAGAAATTGGGGCAGCATAAAGAGAAGGTAGCTGCGAGTCATGAAGAGCAGTAGTGAAGGTGACAATTAACTCGGGTATATTCATGGCACCAGGATCAGCATGGTCAGCATGGTCAGCATGGTCAGCATGGTCAACAGGGACATGTGTATCACTCATGGGTAAAGAGTTTGGAGCAGGTACGTAAACTGGGATACTCTGGAGCAGGGAGTGTAGAAACATATACACTAGAAAATTCGAAAACGATGTTTCTGCCTTGAGTATCCCAAAAAGCGACATGAGCATGAGTAGAACGGATACACTGTTTTTCAGGAATATGGGGTACAGTACAGCAAGCAAGGTATGAACTCATTCTTCAATTTCAAGTTTATTTTTTATTTTCTTTTTATTTTTTCATTTGAGCGTCAGTAAAGTGGGCGCTTTTCTGGTAAGAGAAATCGCTTATTCAGCTACCAATTGTCAAGTCTCGATCTGATTTCTTTTTCTGGCACCTTTAACTAAGTCGCCTAATCAATACCACTGGGGGATTATCAAGTTTATGAATAGTTTTCAGATAAGAATAAAAATACTTTTTTATTAAATACATTTCTTGCTTATTTATACAAAACGATTGTTAATTTCTGGATATGAAAAAAAAAAGAAATAGCTACAATAAAAGGTCTTAGATTATGAATATACACTAATATCTCTATAAGTATATTTGTCATCTTTAACATCTAAGAGTATCTGCAGTAGTTAAATTTCATAAATCATTAAATATACATTAACAGTTTAAACTATCTTGATCATTTTAAATTATTATCTTTTTCTCTTTGTTTCCTTTAAATCCCTTTGTTATAACAAGTAAAAGCCTATCGCAGTAAACAGCAAATCTTACACAGAATATGTTCACTACGAAGCCAATAGCCTTGAGGCCATTAACTAATTTCATTATATATATAGAGGTGAATAAAATTACCAATGAAGAAAAGTCAGCTTCATACAGTGTTATATTTTGAACAATATTTTAATCTAAAAATATCAACCATTACTGATTGCTTCCATGTTGCGATTTTGGTCTCGGATGTCAACTCTAGCACTTTAATATAACATATCAGTATAGCAAATCAGATAAAGGATACAAAACAGTTTTTGTTATATTTGATGTAGGTTGTCTTATATACTTTTTGAAACAATTATTTATCTTTGGTTACACTCCAGAAGCGTCTAGTAATAATACATATCTATAAAGTTACAAAGTGAAGAGTAGTCATTCTAGTTCCTGCTTCTTCTGTAATAAGAAGTCGCTAGAAATTGTATCACCAAAACTAAGCACGACAACTTTGAGCATCACTTATTTTATCGTGCCTGAATTCTTGTTAGCCAATCAGAACAACAATTACACAATATCCTCTTTTGAGAATAACGATCAACATGATTCACTTTTGCTCACAAAATAATTAGAAAACATATAGCTTAACAAAAAAGTATAATATAAGCCAAAACAGACATTTACAATGGCTGAGTAGGTTTAGAAAAGATGTGAACGAAAAAAAATCATTCAATAAACGTTATTTATCTTTCTGTCATATTTCTATTCTTGTTTATTTTAGCTTACGATCCCCAGCAGGTTTGACAGTTTTTGGCTGTGTTATGGCATTTGAAAAACAACCCAGCTCGAAAGCGACAATGCTACCTGGAGAGACTGAACTAAAAAAATTCGATGGGATTTGGTGTGATACCATCTGCATTGCTTCAAATTGTTTGGTTTATGCAAAATCCAGCTGTATAAAAGCATATGATTATACAACGCTCTGGTATAACAAGTTGATCGTAGTAATTATATGTGTGATATATATATATACCACAATTGAGTGAAATACAAGCCCATAAACAAGAACGGATACTGCAATTGCCAATGAGACAGGCAAGGGCACATTTCAGGGATGTAACACACGCCAGTCACTAGTACACTTCACACTGCTTCAGGGACAACCAACCATTAATGGATGAATATTTTAAATTAGGAAACCGAATATCCATATAAGCAGTTATAATCATATTTCTTAAATAAACCATACTATTACAATGTCTATTATTCTCTTTTCACATCTTATTCGTATATCTCAATCTGAGCCAGACGGATCAATTCTGATTAACATTTCAGTCAACCGGAACGATTCAGGTTAACTTTCTAGCCAAACTGGTAACAACTACTTAACATTCAAGTAAAAAAAAAAACTTTCGGTTAACATTTAAGCCAAGCTAGTAACGACCAGTTAATATTTAAGCCAAACCGGTAGAAACTGGTTATTTTTTAAGCCAAACTGGTAACAACTGGTTAACGGTTGAGTAAACTGGTGACGACTAGTTAACACTTTAACCAAACTGGTAAGGACTGGTTAACGGTTAAGCCAACTGGTAACGACTGATTACTACTTTAGCCAAACTGGTGACGATTGGTTAACATTTTAGCTAAACTGGTAACGACTGGTTAACGGTTAAGCTAAACAAGTAGCGACCGATTAACACTTTAGCCAAACTGGTAACAACTGGTTAACGGTTAAGCCAACTGGTGACGATTGGTTAACATTTTAGCCAAACTGGTAACGACTAGTTAACGGTTAAGCCAAACTGGTAGCGACCGATTAACATTTTAGCCAAACTGGTAGCAACTGGTTAATGGTTAAGCTAAACTGGTGACGACTGGTTAACACTTTAGCCAAACTGGTAACAACTGGTTAACGGTTAAGCCAACTGGTGACGATTGGTTAACATTTTAGCCAAACTGGTAACGACTAGTTAA